GGTTGGGGGACAAAAAATTTTTCCCAAGTTTTTCCGGATTTCCGGGGGGGGGCCCCAAAAAACCCCCCACCCCAAAAAACTCGTTTTGCGCGGGGGGGGGTTTTTGTTGTTTTCCCCCCCGCCCAAATGGGTTCCCCAAAAGGGAGCCCCCCCAAATTTTCCTTAAATTCCCCGGCCAAAAAAAAAATTCCAAGTTGGGGCCAATTTTCCCCTTTGGAAAAAAAAAGGGGTACCCCCCCTTAACCCCTTAACCCCCCCCCCCCCCCGGGTGGGAAAATCCTCGAGGGCGGTTTCGACCTGCGTTCTCACGATGCAGAGGCTATACGTTTACAAGGAAAACTAGACATCTACGGTGAACTACACCCAGTCAGGCATGCTAGCGAACCACAAAGGAGCGTTCCTCAACACCACCAACGGCTGTCGAGTCGTCCCGGCCGCTCTCCCACGAAAAAAAAAAAAAAACACCCGCCACTCAGCAGATCGCGCAAGAGTCCGGTACCTTGGGCACCTTGCACGTCCCGAACATCTTCTTGTCCTCCGGGTCCTGGGCGTACGGGTCAGCGGCAGCGGTAGCGGTCGCATCGCCCCCGGGCAGGGCGCGCGTGCCGTCCTCGCCGGCGCCGCCGGCGCCCCCCGCCTCCCCGCCCCCGCTGGGGATCTTGGCCATGACCTCGTCGATCTTCCCCTCGGCAGCCGTGACGCCCGACTGTGTCGCGGCCAGCGCGCCCTCCGCCTGGGTGGTCGCAGAAGACGCCGCGCTTTCCCCTTTCTTAACCGCGTCCTGGGATAATATGTATTAACATAGAACACGTCATTTCGCGTCCGTGAAAGGGAACGGAAACCGACGGCGCGCCCGGCCGCCGGCGGGACCATGAAATACTGTAACGGTGGACGAAAGAAACGCGCCCAACCGCCGAGTACCGCTACCGCCACAAAAAAATCGGTACCGTGATACCGTTGACGGGATACGAAAACATGCGGCGTGATTTCGGGGGTTCTTCCGCACTTCTTTCACCACCGTGCATTGGTTGACGGGATACGGAAAATATGCTGCATGATTTCGCGGTTTATTCTCCACTTCTCGTCCTGGCCAAGCACGCACACAAAACAAAGCGGTCTGTCCCAGCCCGGCTCGACAAAGACAAGAAACCTACAACCAAACTTGCCGCTCTCCCAGATATGACAGCAGTGTACCACAAACCACAAAAAACACCCACCTGGACGGTTGACATGATGCCGGACAAGAAGCCTCCCATCCCTCCTCCCTCAGCGGGGGGCGCCGTCTCCGACGCCGAGGCGTGGGCGGCGCCCTCGGCAGCGGCAGCGGGAGCGGCAATCTTGGAGCTAACGGAGCTGAGGGCCGTGTCGACCTGCGACGTGACAGCGCCGAGCGAGGTCTTGATGTTCCCCAACGCTCCCTCCGCGGTCGCCATGCCGGACCCGAGAGTGGCCTCCGTTACGTCCACGAGCCCCTGGGCCTGCGACACGATGCCCGCGAGGGGGTTGGCGCCGGCGGCAGCGGTGGAGACCGCGGCGGTGGCGTCGGTTGCGGCTGCCGTGGCGTCGGCGGCCGCGGTCGAGGCGGCGGCGGTGGCCTCCGTCGCGGCTGCCGCGGCGTCGCTCTCCGCCGTGGATACGGCGGCGGTAGCTTCGCTCGTCGCGGTTTCAACGGCGGCGGTGGCTTCGCTCGTCGCGGCGTCAGCGGTGGCGGCGGCTTCGCTCGTCGCGGCGTCAGCGGTGGCGGCGGCTTCGCTCGTCGCGGCGTCAGCGGTGGCGGTGGCTTCGCTCGTCGCGGTATCGGCGGCGGCCGTAGCTTCGCCCGCCGCGGTCTCAACGGCGGCGGTGGCTCCGACAGTAGCTTCGCTCTTCGCAGCGTCAGCGGCGGCGGTTACTTCGCTCGTCGCGGTCTCAACGGCGGCTGTGGCTTTGCTCGTCGCGGTGTCAGCGGTGGCGGCGGCTTTGCTCGTCACGACGTCAGCGGCAGCAGTAGCTTTGCTCGTCGCGGTCCCAACGGCGGCGGTAGCTTCGCTCTTCGCAGCGTCAGCGGCGGCGGTTGCTTCGCTCGTCGCGGTGTCAGCGGCGGCAGTAGCTTCGCTCTTCGCGGTCTCAACGGCGGCCGTAGCTTCACTCTTTGCGGTGTCGGCGGCGGCGGTTGCCGCTTCCGTCGCCGAAGCGACCGCTTTCTTCGCTGTTGTGGTGCAAACCATGAATACGAGATATTGAACTGTTGTTAGATACGGTAACACCACGAGCCATGCGAACATTATTGGTCATGAGCTTTTCTACCCTGTACCGCCGAATGCACCCATGACGCGGAATACACGGCTTGTTTGGTTGGAGGGAGGGTTCCCACACGAAACGAGCTACGCGTGCGGAGCAATCCATGTAGAAAAAAACGCTGCGATCTCGAGCAAAAAGTCCTTGCTACATTGGCGTGGGATTTGCTTGCATAAGGGTAAAAAGGTGTAAGCCCGTGTGATTCTTGTCCAAGCAGTGGTATACATCATTGGGTACAGCCATGACTCGTATGTGTGTGCTTGGCCTTATCTTGGGGCAGCAAAACATCGGCAGTGTAGAATTGTGACGGGTATGACCTGCTTTGCACACCCCAACAAGGCACCGTCAATCCATGACCCGAGCGGCGATTGACTGACTGCGATCAGTGAACTACCGGAACCCCCCCACACATCACTTCAAAGACGGGGGGGGCGAGCACGAGGGTATCATAGGTCCCAAACATAAGATTTCACGCGTGGCCGTAGCGAAAATAGTCATCGGTTCTTCGCAAACTACAGCCGTAGTCGTAAGGACGCCGACGCGGTGCGCAGTCTCAATTTCATACGTGGCCCTTGCAAAAAAATACCATCCGATGCTTGCATGCAAATGCAGGATGCCGACCGGGGTTCTGGCGCCGTCTCAACAAAAATGCTCACCGGTGGCAGTGGTGCGCGACGCCGTGTCGGCAGCGGAAGTGGTGGCCGTCTCGGCAGCCTCGGTCACCGCCTTGTTGACACTGCTCGCAGCGGCGGCAACGCCCTCCGTTAACTTGGACATGTCCATAATCTCTTCGGTTTGTTCTTCAACAACAGGAGGCGGAGGCGTCGAGATAGCGGGGGGTGGGGTAGCGGTTGCGGTTGCGGCGGTTGCGGCAGCGGCGACGGCGGCGGCGGCGGGAGTTTGTGGGGGGGGAGAAGGCACTGGGGGTGTTCCATCTGCCGCCTCTGGTGCTGCAGCGGCTACTGGTGCTGGTGATGGTGCTGCTGCTGCTGCTGCTGCGCCCGGTGCTGCTGCTGGTACGACGGGCAGTACCGAGGCGGCGGCGGCGGCGGCCGCGGCGGCGGGTTTCGATGCCGCCGCATTCCCGTCAACACTCTTCCTTTTGGATTTGTTCTTTTTCGACCCCTTGCTGTTGCGGCCCATCTTGGCCTGGCTCGGTCGGTCGCTCGGTCGGTCGCCCGGGCTCTCTCTCTCTCTTTCTCTCACTCTCTCTCTCTCTCTCTCTCTCTCTCTTCCCTCCTCCCTAGAGCTCGCTTGTTCGTGAAATGGGTCTCTGAGCTGCTGTGTGTGTGTTGGCTGCTTGCTCACTTCACACCTGCGGATACAGCCACCTCTTACTAGTTGACCCCCGCCTCTTCTGCTTGATCCAACCACTCTTGTCGGTGGTGGATTCGCTCGCCTTATCGTTTCAATTGGGGTGCATACGAGCGGCCAGCCGGGACGAGAGCGGGCGCGGGCGCGGGCGTGGGCGCAGCGGGCGGCGGCGGCGAAGGTGGCGGAACGGGACGGGACGGGGCGGCGGCGGAACGAGACATGTGGGTCGACGACCCCACGCGGCAAAGTACATGGAAAAGGGTTGGGGCACAAAATCAACGGGTTGGACCGTACGAAACCGCCGTCGACAACTAAGCCGTGCGAAACGCAACGCAACTAATACCACTATAAGGTTGGTCGACAACTCAGCGCACCGCCCGTTCCACGTTCGGTGAAAACATCAACCAGCGAGGTCGGCCGCCGGCTTGTACTTGTAGACACGTGAGAACAAAAATCCGCCCACAGCGCGGCGAGAACCGCTGGGGGCTTGGAATGATGGCAGCAAGCGCAGGGAGCAGTCCTTGACGACGACACCATGGGGCGGAGGTGCGCCGCAAAGTCTGCCGTGACTGGCCGGTCGAGAGCGCCGCGGCATGAGCTCTGTCGACGAAAAGCTGTCCAAGTGTAGGTTGTTGGTCAGACCAGGTGCGTCTAACAGCACGGCAGGCACATGGTCGTTGTTCGCCGAAAAGCAAGACGCACGCTAGGCCAAAACACCATGCTTCGCTGCTCTTTTCCTTAAGTGTGTTGTCCTCTACATACTCATTCGCTGTAATGAAAAGCTACACAGGGAGCCACGAATTATGGTGGGGATGCCACGCACATGCTTCCAAAAGTAGCGCGGTCTACATCGCCCACAGGTAATGAAAGATGAATCTATCACGTGTTCAGACTACTGCTGAGCGGCTGAGAAGAAGAAGGGAGAGGCTTCCGCGCGCACCAAAAATGGGTATGATATGCTTGCGTAGTTGAGGTAGGTGCAGGGCGGAAGGTATGTACTCTTGTTGTTGTTGTTGTTGTTGTTGTTGTCTTCACCTTAAAAACCGTTCCGTTCTCCCTGCTCAGTACCTTCTTCTGTCCGTACTAGTCTAGTCTAACACTTGACGGAGTCGATTCCCGTGGTCGCAGGCTAACTGTACATAGGCAAAAGCTTTCGGAACCCGGTGTTGAGAGAACAAGTGTGTTCCAGCCGGCACATCATCATCCGACCTGGGTGTGGCCCTGTGCCGACTCTTCGACTAATTACGAGTTGTATCACTACAGTTGTGTGTAAGCACAAAGGCATTTCATAGACGAGACAATGTATGCACAGTTTCGTCGGCAAAGGGCAAAGCAGGCCTGGCGACCGCAAGCTCGCACGGGCAGGGCGCTGTCGGAATTCAGCAGCCACTCCGAGGGGGAAATTCTGAGTACACGACCAAGCGACGACGCCACCTGGCCCAAGGCGCTCGCTTTTGCAAGTGAAAAGAATTCGAAATTTCCACGAGGAGGGCCGCAAGCAGCAGCGAAAGGTGAACATTGCATCGACGCCTCTGCTCGCCGCAAGGCGAAACTAGAGCTTCGGTTGTGGGTCGCAATGGACAGGTAGGCCCGCTTCTGCTGCGGCCGGAAAGGTAGGGCAGCCGCCTGGTAGCATCGTCTTTGAGAGAACAAAACCATGCGCACCATCCCTTCCTTCCGTGTTTATGTACTTGTAGTAGCGGAGACACAGATTGCTGTGGTCTACTTGTAGCCCTTTCTCGAACTCGAAAATCTGTAGATAATCCTTCCATTTAGTCTATTGGTGAGCTCTCTCTGGCTTGAGCAGCTGAGCATTCCGACGAGTTGGGTATCGCAGCGCCCGCACGCTGCAAGCCTACGAAGCCATCGTACCTTGTTTAAGGGTGTTGAAGGAACGTGGTCCGGGTTGGCGACGCCTGCTGGATGGGTAGCGTCGAGCGCTGCTGCTCGAAACACAGCAGCAGCAGAGGCAGGACAAGGGAAGTTCACCTGTTACCACTACAATCAGCTGCTCATGCGCGCTAAGGAACCGGACCACGCACACATCGAAGCTAAACCGGCAAGCGGAGGTCTCTGTCGAGATAAAACGTCGGTCAAGGTTACGGGGGAACCGAGGCCGCAGTCGGCGGGCCTCACATGGCACACGGCTTCGATTCATGCGCTGCCCCTGTCGCGGAGAGACAAAAAAAGGAACCGTAAAAAACACACGCGAGGGCACCAGAAGCTCCCAGAGACACTCGTGAGTTCTCGACGACCAATTTCCTATCGAGTTTAGCGTCCCTTCCCCATAGAATTTGCATGGTCCTGCCTATCCCCTTGTCTTTGTTTCTCTCCTCGCAACCAACACTGCTCACCTGCGGAAAGTAGTTGTACGGAGGCAAACGTGAGCTACTTGGTCACACTGCACATGCATCGTCTGGAGCGCTCTCGGGGGGGCTCGCGGCTGAGATTACATACCCCCCCATGATGTCATGATGTCACGATGGTCAACTACCAACGCCAGCAGCGGCATCAGCGCGGAGAACGGCTGCTTGCGGTGCATGCGGCAACAGGGAAGCTATTCCGAGAGGTCGATACTCACAGCACTGCTTTCGGTCATTGCACGGTCCTTGTGGTGAGAGAAGTGGCGGTGTTCATAGCAACTTTCATGGTTTTCAAAATTTGAATACTCTTGATTTTATCCGTTCATGCGCCAGCAGAAGCGACTGTGTCTACTGCTCGACGGCATCCGGCCTGGGTGACGTTCGACGTGTCTCAACCCTTCACCAGTGCCTAACAACCGCCCTGTTTCTCTGTAGTCCATAGCAGTAGTTCATTTGATTTGGAAATGTCCTCGCCCGTCGGTATTCGCAAGTCAGATGTCGATCGAGCGCGGATGCGGAGCGAATTCTCGCAAGAATGCGCTCGTGCTCTGCAAATGCCGGGCTACAGCTGTAGTCCCCGCCAGCTCCGGATAGGTCTGCAGCAGTAGCGTTTCTCTGACTCAAGACAGGGTGTAGGTGGGCAGGTGGAGAGCACAAGTTCGTATCCGGACGGATTCCCCGGGAGCGTCTAAAAAGAAGTGGTCTGTATGAATGTTCCTCCCGTCTGCAGTAGGTTGCGTAAGATACCCCACCCCCTGCGCCGGTTGTTCGTTTTTAAAACTCGATTACTCCGCTGAAGCAGCAACAGCAGTGGCTAGTGAGAATTGCGGCGTTTGAACCACCACCACTGCGTCAACAGTTATTGTCTGTGTGGCATGCTCTTCGTCTTGATTTAATCGGGCTCTATGTATCGAGCTTTAACCGTCGGTCCAGGGGGGGGGGGGGGGAATCTCAAGGAACCCCCC